TGCGTAAAAAAAAATACTGTCTGAGACGCTAAATTGTTAGTGTATTCACAATAACTCATAATTGTTCAAACAGTTGGGTGATTACGGCGTCCAGCACGACTGCATCCCTCTCGTCATTATCTGAGTCAGTGTGGTTACTGTTCCCTGGAGTTCAGTTCAGCGGTGATTCTGGTCTTGGTGAAAGCTCGGACCACAGTTGATACTGATCCTTCGCCCGGGCGTCCACGATCCGTTGGCAGATCGTGGCGTAATTCGCTCGGCGCTGTCTCCCTGTCTTGGTGAATGTGTGTTCTCCTTCTCTCATCCACTGCTCCCACGCAGCTCGCACTTTAACTTTATAACAACCTTGAGTTTAAAGTTGGCGTTGTGAGCGTGTCTCTTGACAGGTGCATTTTGATATTAAAAGGAATCACAGTATGTTTTACTCCGCGATGCTCCTGACTACAGAAGCCGTAATGCTGCAAGTGGTGCGGCTTTGTAGTTTACTAAAGTCGTACTAAGACACCCAAATAAATTCATATATAAGGCGCTCTGGATTATAAGGCGCGCAGTCGTTTTTTGATTAAATTAAAGGCTTTTAAGCACGTGCGGAAAATACAGTATATCATGAAAATATCATACAGAGAGAGATTTGGATATTGTTACATCTCTCTAATAGTGAGCCTCCCCACCATATCATGAGCTTTCCCACGATGTCACAATAAATATGGTGCCACGAGGTTCATACTGTGACAATATCGTATCGTGAGACTTGGATATTGTTACACCCCTAACAATTCCAGAACTGAATTCAAACAAATGATTCTAGCGAAGGTTGTGGCGTTTAAAAACACAATGGAGCACTTTATGTATTACCTCATAACAGTGAGTGTTTTCGGTTTGAGAGAAGAACTCAGCCTAAATATGTAGAGTTTGTGTGTTAAACGTGTGAATGAAACAAAACACAACTTCAGGTCTGTTTGTGATGAGGAAACTACATTATAACACAGATTAGAAAACTGCAAAATATGGGCCCTTTAAATAAAAACTTAAAATTACTTTATTTATTTCTTTTACAGACAGAGAAACTTAGCATTTCCATTCATACACTTAGCTCATTCAGCACATCAAAGCAGAAAGGAGATCAGTTACAGTCAGATCTTTTCCTATCTTGGCTTAGTTTTTAGTATTATTATATTATTTACAACCTTCTGTCTTTGCAGCGCTTCATAATTCTTTACTATTTACTTCTTTTATGTTATTTTTATTAAACCAAAATGACTGAAATGACAAAATTTTGTACAGCAACGAGTAGACTTCATAATTAGTCATCATAGTCGCAGTAATTATACAAGAGGTGTTTACTGCTCTGTTTTTGTGCATTGAAAAGATGAAAAAAAAGAAACTTGAATCCTACCCGCCTACCAATTTTTTACCAATCCCCCACCTCTGCCATATCTCACATCCACATGAGTAGCAGTGTGAAGTTCAGCAGAGATTGGCAATTCCAGGGCTGAAATCGTCCAAATGATTCTAGTGAAGGTGTGTGGAGCGCGTGGAGACGAAACTCAACTCCAGGTTTGTGACGAGGAAACAACATTAGAGCAGAAAATAGCGTAATATGAGCCCTTTAATGAGCAGTGTCTTTTATAGTGTAAATTGTGTTTGTAAAATGGACTTCATGTCAGGACCTTAGCTTTCATGTTCACTCACATTGCTTGGATTTTCTGTTGCCGTCTGCTGCATGATAATTGCCGCATATTTGCTGATGAATTTTGGAGTGGAGGTGAATGTAAAATCTACAATGAAAGGATCTGAATGAGTCATAGTACATAGATGTGGACTGCTTTGTGGTTTTTCTTTCTTACATGGAGATTTAAAAACATGGATTTAAAAGCTATTTGGAAGGAGTTGGCAATATATTTATGCATTTATTTTGGGCAAGTAAAGATTTACATTCATATACAATGGAACATATAACATAAGTGAAATCAGAATAGAAATGAAAATAACAACACATTTTTTTTATTATTATTATCATTATTTTTTTGCACAAAAAGGAGTGAGAAGAAGAAAATTTATTTAATCCAACCCCTTCTCTTCATAAGCTAACACAATGAGCTTTCTTTTTACGTTTTTCAGACACTTTGAATTCAACTATATGAACTATTCACAAGTGCAGACAAAGAGTCACTGTTATAGCTCGGCAGTATAACATAAACGTACCAACAATGGTAAAGTTAAGGATACAGGCAATTTCAAGAGACAAAAAATACAAGTAATGTAACGGACAGTGCATGCCGGCAATGGTAAGAAAACAACAAACATAAACCAGCGCTACAGAGGCAGTATTGTTCTAATATTAAAGGTTGTATGGAGGATTTTTTTTTGTTTCAAATTGTCAATGATAGATTATAAAGATGCAGTAGCCTTGTAATTATGATGACCAAAAAAAAGAGAATAAAAATTCATCAACTCTGGAGGTGGTGGGGCTAAACATTTGCCAATAGATAACGACACTGCCTCGTTATCTGTGAGCTGACAGGCTGTCAATCAATCTCCCTACGTTTCTAGCGTAACTGACTTGCCTGCGCCGCCGGTACGTGGTTTACGTACGACTGTCACGCAGTCCACAGACGCAAGCCGCACAGACGCTGTTTACTCCACCAACGCAACAGTTCTTAGCGGCTTTTTTTTGACCTATATCTTCCTCGCAGTTCGCACAAAGTTTGTTGCAATGGCGACAAGAATCCAGGAGCAGTTCGCCGCAAAAGAAAGTCCAGTTTTTGAGGTCGCTGAAAGAAGAAGACAAGGGGAAAAGCAGCGAAGCCAAACTAAGGTGATTCTTGTAGATTTCATTCCAGCGATGGCGCAACTGAAGCAGACGCAGGGTCTAAAGACTGACGCACTGGTCCACAAATTACTCCTGGACAGGTCACTTCTGCTTATTATGAAAACGTACTTTATTTCCAAGAGCTAGACAAACGTTTTTTCAGGACACGAAAGCGATATCCTATGTCTGAAAACGTAATTTTCAAGGCAAAGAAAGAGTCTGCTTGCTGCTGCGTGTTGTAGCTAGTTCATTCGCACTGAATCTCCGCGCAACCTTCTCTGCACCCCTTTCCTGCTCCTGTCCCCGCTGCCCGATCCACTCTTCTCCCTGCTCCTCACTTCTCCGGGCACGAAATGTCCGCGCACCCGCTCCCCCCACTCCTCATTTCTCCACCTTGCCTAACCAACACTGTAGTTAGTTGTTTACAAGTCATGTGCAGCGCACCGGCTGTAAACAAACCTGTTTGTGGCGTAAGGAGGAGGAGGGAGGAGGCGTTTCTACGTAGGAGCTGTGGGGGAGGGGGGTGGTTTCACGCATGCGCAACATTTGAAAAAGGACAAACAGTCGCTGGATTTCTCGTTCCTTGGAAAATCCTCTATACAACCTTTAAGACCCACTCTCCATATACTGTGACTTCAAACATTATACATATAGTTGTATATAAATCGTAGACTTACAGTTGTTGTTTTGTTACCTGGCTATTTCCCGTTTTTAGAATCCCGAGAGAACAATGCGCAGTAACGTGTGCCCATAATTTGAGGCTATGTTGAATGAGTTTTTATATATATTTTTTTTCCTTCCAAACTACAGTACAAATATGAAAAGCTGATGTACCTAATATTGAGCCTGCAAAAGGAGAAATTATGTATTAAAATCTAATGAGTTCCTCGCTCTTACAGACTCTTTGGTACATGTGAATATTATCAACTTCACATGGCAAACTGAAACTATGGCTTACTTAATTAGTACTTACACAAAATACTTTATTATTAGATGCAGACAGCGCACAGCCAGCGCATTTTTTTTTTTTTTACAAACTGTGGCTTGTATGGTATAGTCTTTGGGACAAAAAATATTTTACAAGAAGAAATCAAGCCTCTAAGTCAGGGGGTCAAACTCAGATTCACAAAGGGCCAAAATTAAAAACCGGAACTAAGTCGTGGGCCAAACTAAATATTTAACATCTGCATGTTTTCTCTTCTTTCGAGATATGTCATGTTAAAACTTTTCTTATTAAAATAAATGTTTCATAATAGTTTTGCTTAAATATTGAATCCAGAACAAGCATAATATAAAATAATAACACAATTTTAAATAAATAATGTCTCTATAGTCTATCTATCTAGTCCATGTCTATCCAGCTCTAATGCATATTTGATATAGTCCAATGAGATTCATTTGGTCTTCCAATATTCTATGTTATTAGGTTCTTTTTTTCAGACCTAGAGTGTTATTTCATACCTTTAAATCAGCTGATTGGACACGTCACAGCAACATCAGGTATGAAATAACACTCTAGGTCTGAAAAAAAGAACCTAATAACATAGCATATTTGATATGATCTCGCAGACCAAATATAATTAAATTGAGGTCCAAATTTGGCCCCCGGACCCAAGTTTAACATGTCTGCTCTAAGTAACTGAATACATACACAGAGAACACATCATCTGAATACTAATTCTGAGTACCTTTATTACGGGAGTTACTTTTTCGTTTGGTGTTATTCAGAAACCGGTAACTTTTCTGAAATCAAAGAATACAATATGACAATACTTTGATCACACAATTGTGGCTTCAAACAACACAACTTTAGTGAGAAAAAAAAAAAAAACATCACTCTCACAGCATGTGCATGTGTGATTTTTTCCTTCTCTAATGATTCTCTTGTGATTTAGTTAGGAAATGCATAACAAATGGTCAGACAAATTGAAATCTACACTATAATTGAAATGCAACTTGGTGTAAAAGAACTTTAAGTAATTAGAATGCAGTGCTCTGATTGGCCCATATATTGGTATACATTAGACAATACATTTTAATTCAGATATTCAGTATTTTGTAACTAAATACATTTTCCAAGTCAATCCAGAAGAAGCTGTGATGTGTAGTACTGAAATGTATCGCCCTTTACAACTTAAAAACACTCCAGTTCGTAACCATTCCCTAACTTCTCCTGATCTGTGCCCAGGCCAAGCAGTCCCTTGCCACCCTGACCAAGGACGTCCCGAAGCGGCACTCCCTGGCCATGCCCACCGAGGCTGTGGTCAACGGAAACAACCAGGAGTGGGTGATGCAGGCTGACCTCCCCCTGACCGCCGCCATACGTCAGAGCCAGCAGACCCTCTACGTACACACCGGACACCCCAGTGACAGACAAGGTAACCCGCTATCTCCTCAAGACTTTATCACTCTGTCCAAATATGGAGCTACACTGCAAAAAGCTAAATCTGGGTAAGTTCAAATGACTTAAATTAAGAGCATTTTACTGCATTTGAGTAGATTCAACTTGACAAGTAAAATTATCTACCCGTGGAATAAGTGTGTTTTTGTTGCAACTTTTTTTTTTTCTTGGAGAGTCCGTCAAATGCTTTTCTCCGCGGACATGTTATTGCTTGGTCCAGAATGTTTCACAGTATGGCATTAAACCTTTTTATCATCACGTAGACCTAACCAGACCAAGTTACAGGTCAGATCTGTGGTGGGGCGACCCCGCTCACCGTCAGAATGTGTTTTTCTAAGTATTTTTGAGTTGTAAAGCCACCTGTAATTGACTAAATGTAAAGCAGAGTGGTTTAATGTCATACTGTGGAACATTTCAGGCAGAGCAATGGCATCTCCATAGAAACAAGCAGGTGAGGGACCCCCAACTAAAAATGTGCAAAGGGTTACTGTATGTTCCGCACTATTAGGCGCTCTGGGTTAAATTAAATGGTCTATTTTCAAACTTTTTTCACAAATAAACCGCACCGGACTTTAAACGAAACGCAACAGTTGGATGGGTCGGTGGGACTTTGTTTGGCGTGTTCACAGTGACTCTGGGCTTTGTTCAGTTGTGGCGTGTAGGCAGGGTGCTGTCTGGGATCGCTGGATTGTCGGCGTGTTCGCAGTGACTCAGTTGTTCAGTCGTGTCTAGAAGTGGCACATCGCACTCGCTTTTTCGGTTCGTTCCTCCGTTCCGCGTGGAGTGATGAGTGTGGTTGCGGGTGTTTTTCGCCGCGTGGTCGCTGTCTGCTCCGTGCGCGTTTGCGTGTTTATAGTTTACTGAAGTCGTGCTGGGACACCCGAGTGGATTCGTGTACGGGGCGCTCTGGATTGCGGGGCGCGGTCGTTTTTTGATGGAGTTGGAGGCTTAAGTGCGCCTAATAGTGCGGAAAATACTGTTATTGTTTTGTTTTTTTATCTCAAGTGTAGCAAAGATGTATTTTCATATCTTAACTCCAAAAAATCTTGTTCCATTGGTAGATATTTTTACTTGTCAAGTGAAATTTACAAATCTTGATACTTGAAACTTTCTCAATTCATATAAACTTGGCTAGATTTGAGTTTTTGCAGTGTGCAGCCGCTGGCCCTGTGCATGTGGGTGTGTTGGTGTGGACTGGACGTGCTTCACTTGTGTCATCCCCGACCTCCACAGACGCTCCACTCCATGCTTCTGTGGCTCTGAACATAGTCTGGCTTTAGCTGAAGACAGTGTTTATCAGTAGTGGAACCTAAAGTAAAAGTAGTAACTATTGTACTTAAAGGTGCATTGTGTGACTTTTCTGGTGGAAGGTCCGTCAAAAGCTTTTTCTCCATGGAGATGTTGTTGCTTTGTCTGGAATGTTGTCACAGTATGGCATTAAACTTTTCTATCTTCATGGAACGCAAACCAGACGAAGTTACAGGTCAGATCTGTGGAGAGGCGACCCCACTCACAGTCAGAATGTCTATTTTTATTGGTGTTTTTAAGCCTTAAAACCAATAAATTGCAATTAAATAAATGTGAAGGAGAGCAGTTTAATATTGTGGAACATTTCTAACCTGATTCATCAGCCGGTTTCACTTCGTGGAAACCGTCTGACCTCGCAGCATTAGGATTCGTTCAGTCAATGGTAGGTGGTTGGTACTTTTTTATTTAACCCATCGCTGCTATTTGGTCGTGAGGTATGTAATGCACCAAATCCTGTAGGAAGAAGGGCAAGTAACGTCTTTTCCCTTGATAAAATTCACCAAACATTCTCTTTGTTCTGGATTTAAATCATCGATCTCGATTGCCAACACAGAATGTCTGTCTTCGTTTACATCCATCTAGACACTTTGTTTACTGTTGTGCTGTTCCACAAAAGGGACCAGACAGACGCTTGAGTTTGACGTCATGGCTTCACACTCTTTATTGATTGATCGCTGTGCAGTCTATAACTTCCAGGGTCCTTGCAAATCGTCTAGTGTATTCTGATTCCTGATCTAGTCGCTGGAGAGAAATTAAATTGAGCGGAGGCACTAGGCGGCGCCAGCCTGGTGAGAACATTCCAGGTAGAACAATGACATATCCATAGAAACAAGAAGGTGGCAAACCCCCAACCAAAAGTTACATAGTACACCTTTAAGTACTGTCACGGGTGTTGGTGGTGATGTGTCGTATAGTAGATGTTACTTCCTGTTGGCGTGGTCATCCTGATGGACCTGGCAGGTCACTCAGACTGACGCTTGTGTCAGTGGCTCATTTCCTAATTTCAATGGCATCGTTGCTCTGGAAAAAAAAACACAATATCTTGATAAGTTAAAATGACTTAAATTAAGAACATTTTATTTTATTTGAGTCAATTCAGCTTGACAAGAAAAATTATCTACCAATGGAATAAGACTGTTTTTCTTAATTCAAGCAACATCCGCTTTTGTTTCTTATTTTAAGTACAAAGAGTTGTTTTTCTTTTTTTAACTGTAGAAAAATATATTTTCATATTTTAAGTACAAAAGTTTTATTCCACTGGCAGATCATTTAACTTGTCACGTGAAATTTACTCACATCATGACAAAACTTTCTTAGTTCAAGTCATCTTAACTTGGCTAGATTTAGTTTTTGCGGTGTGGTCCAGCATTTGAACTTGCTTTTCTCCAGTCCATGTTGTTGTTTTTTTTCCTGAAATGTTCTACAGTACAGCATTTAATTAAACTATCTCCATGAAAACACATCACCAGGTCACAGGTCAGATCTGTGGTGAAGTGGACCTGCTCACAATAATAATGCATGTTTTGCTTCATGGTTTTTTACTAGTGATGGGCGAATGGAGCCTCGTGAAGCATTGACACCTCAGTCGCAATATTGTCTCAAATGGTTGGACGTGTCTGAGGCCTTGGAGAAACACTGACCTCTAGTGGACAAATTGAACCATTGTCACGCAGGTGTCTCAGCATCGATGAAGTATTGTTAGTGTAAGACAAACTTGTGTGCAGAGCGACACCGTACCAACAACAACAATAATAATGATGATTTAAAATAATATGTAAAGAGCAACATAAATAGCAGCTGTAAATAAGAAAATTGGTTTCCTTGTTAGGTGGAATTAGATCAAAGTGATCCCAAACCATGGATCGCTTTTTTCCACTTGTAGATGCCATCGAAAATGAAACAAATGCCAAAAGTCACCAAAATCACCACTAACATCACACGATACTCCTCACTACCCAACATTTTTAAGAAATATTGGTGCATCTTTTATACTGTAGCAGTTTAGCGCTTGTCAAACCACGGGAGTGTGCTGAACACTCTGAAGCACTGAACCAATCGCAGAGCGGAACATTCCCCGAGCCAATGAAACGCTTCGATAAACTGAAGCGATTGAGCGAAGCAGTAGGGGGAGGGACCGACACTTCGACACTTCGGTCACGTGAGCGGCTGCTGCGAGACGAGCTCCGAGGCAGTGCTTCGGAGCAATTTCTTTTCAGAAAGAACGAGACGTGCTCCAGAGCTCCGACTCATTTGCCCGTCACTATTGTTTAGTTTAAGAAATAAAAACGCCTGTATGTAAGGTAGAGATGTTTAATGTCATACTGTGGAACATTCCAGGCAGAGCTGCGACATATCCACAGCAACAAGCAAGTGATGGACCCTTCACCAGAAAAGTTACACAGTACAAGTTTGAGTCAGCCCTTCCTGCCCTGAACGACCTCCTCAGACAGGCTTTATTGATGGAGGAGTCCAGGAGTCAGGAGGTGTTTTCATAATTGGACAAGGCTCAAACAGGGCCAGTGCAGGGACATCACGTACACGCTAACGGCCGGCATCTGTCTCTCGGAGGACATGCACAGTCGCCTAGAAACAGCACAAAGGCAAATAATCAGCGAAGTTTGAAAATTGTTTTTGTTGTTTGTGGAAAGCAGAGGGGGATTGGAGGCGAGATGTTCCCGTAATAAGGGGATGGGGGAGTGAAATTGCACCTATATACTGTAGATTTGAAAGAAAAACCTGCAGGAAAATGAAAGTAGTTTGAGTAAGTCATCACAAACTGCAAATCACAAACTAAGCACAGTAGATTAAATTTTTTTGTTTGAGGAAAAAAATTAGACTGAATGGAGGTAAAGTAAAAGAAAAATAATGACTTTTCTTTTACTTTAATAATTTATTTGTTGAAAACCATGATTGTGTTGAAGTAAGAGTTTGTGACAACATAGGAGTCATTAGTCAGAGATGGCAATACCCACATTTAAAAGATTGGGTATTTTAATTTTGTGGGGTATTAATGGTTAACACAAAACATATTTACCGTAGTTTTTTTGATTATAAGTTGCTCCAGAGTCTTACCAGTCCAAAAATGCATAATGAAGAAGAAAAAACATATATGTCACATTGGACTATAATTCGCACTTTTTTTTTTTTTTTTTACATATATATATATATATATATATATATATATAAAATCAGAGACCAGGAACTGACTTCATCTTGAAAGGCAAGTTCTAGTAAAAACAATAGAACTGAGAACAACAGACTGTTAACGTCACATATGAACAGTTCTTCAGATAATTATAACATAAACAACAGAACAGAACAAGTTTAACAAACTCTCCACCTCACTCCAAATCACTAAATCCATTGAAAACTCTTCTGCGCAGCTGTTGTCAGACTCAGAGTCAGTTCCAGTTAGAATTATTCTGGCCTTTCTGAATCCTGACAGGATGGTTTCTGTTGTCACTGAAAATTCTCACTCACTCCAAACTTTCTTTCTGCAGCTTGATTACAGTTTTCAGCTGCATATTTTGCTACTTGCAACTTGTAATTTGCAAAATATGATTTTCTTTTTGGGGACATTTGTTTTCAGTCTTCTCAGTTGTCTTTAATTTTTTTTTATTATAAAATTTTAATTAATTCATTTAAAACAGTTTCAGTGATTCAGAAGTAATGGTGCGATCGACTGACACGTTACACACAGGACAGAGGCTCTTTCTGTAGGAGACATGCACAGTAGAGCCAAGTGACAATGGTACAGGAGTAACAGGAGCAGTAGATACTGACACACAAGACTAGAGTGCCCTCTCATGGCTGTCGGTGTGAAAAGTTTAATATATATAATTCGCACCAGAGGGCCACCCAAACCATGAAAAAAAAAAGTGTGACTTATAGTCTGAAAAAAACGGTACATCATCATGTTATCGTTTGTTGTTTTGAAAATGCTATATTTGCCTCAAACAGCATTTCATAAATTTTAGTTTGGCTTTTGACTGAGTCCCTCTTCCCTTTGCTCCCCATGCCAAGTCACTTCAGAGTGATATTATATTATAATATAATATACTATTGTAACTGCCATGCATGTCACAATTTAAACTATTGTACATTGCATCAGGTTTGTGAAGTTGTAGTGTTTATTTTTATCATGCTCTTGTATCTTTACGGAAAATGGAACTCGTGGACTGAGTTTGGACAGAGTCATACTTATAAGTGTAAAGAGGGTTCGACATAAAACCTCTTCAGACATGTGTTTGATGCAAAACTGACTTTCTGGAGCTTTACACCATAAAAGCAAGAAAGCAACACAACACACCCAGCACCATCACATATCCCTTCAAGCCTCCACACTACCTACCATAACCTGTGACAGTGTTGGCATTTGCTGCTTCCATACCCCATCAGCCTTGTGCTTTGTGCCTCTAGTAGGGTTTAATATCTTGCCCAAGGACACAATGGCAGTATGGAAGGACAGGACTTGAAATACTCGTGTTGGAACCAAAGTTTTAAGTTACTAGGCATCGGACAAGTACACATACCATAACCTGTGACAGTGTTGGCATTTGCTGCTCCCATACCCCCCCATCAGCCCTGTGCTTTGTGCCTTTCGTCCCATTGCAGTGGCGGCGGTACGGGTGAGCCCCTGCCACTCGCGCCAGCCGTCTGCCCCGTCTGACGCCTCAGCCATGGAAGCTGACAGGTCCTCCACGCCCAGCGACCTCAACTCTCCTCGCCACCGGACACACTCCCTTTGCAATGTAAGACCCGCCCGCCCCCGCAACATCACAAGTAATCATGTTTTTTGTTTTGTTTTTTGTGTTTTGTTTGTGTAGTTTGCTCTTCCTGCTTCTCCTGCTGCTGCTGCCACTGCTGCTGCCGCTGCTGCCTAGTCATTCTCACTCTGGCTTGGTTCACTTTTGGGCTTTTTCACTTTGCAGATGAGTTGTGTTTGAAGATATGAATGAGTAATGTAGAGACGGTGGGCTAAGGCTCTACCTCTGACTGAGAGATAATGAAAATGAAAGTGGAACTAAATGCCTAAACTACTCGCATAACCATGTTTCAAATAGAACTGCTAATCTGGGGAAGACCTGCAGGACTAAAGAAAAGAGTAAGTGGAGGAAATGGTGGATTGGTCCAACAGGAATCCACACTTTAAACTCCGCTCCTGCAGCCATGTGTTTATGCTCAAAAACACATGGCTGTAATCAGCAAAGATACTGGATGTCACCATCTACTTGAAATTGCAATCGAATTTTGTCCACAAATCTGCAAATTTACCTAGTTTGTGCTAAAATGGCCAAAAAAAAGGAGTTTATTTTAATGTTTAGTTCCACTTTACGTTATATAATATAGAATCTGCCCTCAATTTGCCCTCAGTTTGTGTACAAATTGTCTTATTAGAAGAAAACACAAAGAGTTTGGCGCTGTCTTTCCACTTGGTAACAGTAGATAAACAGCGCCATCTGCTGTCCTTAACTGTATACCAGGTCTGAGAAAGATGGTATGCCCCCTCATCCTGATTCAAGGTGCGGTAAGCGTGTTTCCGGCCAACAATGGAACAGTTTGCTCTCTGTGCTTATGGCCTTATGCCGGACATGCATTGTGGGATGTTTTCGAACGTTTCTCTCAGCCCCATCTCAAACTGTACGACCAAATTGCAGGGTTTAAAAGTTCACAGCTCATGATTCATGTTCTCATACTATACAAACTACTGCGACAGTGCGAAACCCTCACGAGAAGCGACTGGGTTTCAAACAGGTTCGGGAACTGGTCGTGAAGTATTAATCAGTTCTCGTTATCCCATTTACCCCCCGTTTACTACACGAAGCACGACATGTGATTAAGTGAAAACTCGGCCCGAGCCCAAAAACAGTGGCACGAGTGAAAAATGGGCTCAAAAAGGGCCCAAAATCACACAGTGTACGCCTGACTGTCGAAGTCCTTAAGGTGGTTCTCCCTCTTGCATTTTCTCAGGCGTTAATCAGACTGTTAATCGGGATGGGGGGGGCATACCAATTTTCTCGCACCTGGGATACAGTTCTGAAGAAGTCAAACTGCAAATGGTGCTGTTGTCCCACTGCTCCAAGGAGAAAACATCAACAAAATTAGTTTAATTTTAAATCAAATCAGCTTCCTTTCCAGCCACAACTGATCACACAAGCACACCGCTATTTTCCCACAGACAAGTAGAGTTTAATATCTTGCCGAAGGACACAATGGCATAATGGAAGTGAAAAGGCACTGGACAAGTACCAGTTGCAAATATTATTTTTGGAAGATGCTGTGCCTGATTTTTACTGTCTTAAAAACATGAAAAACAGAGCTGGTTCATTTTACAGAGTTTGCAGTGGTCCAGAGTTATTCCTCCCTCACCTTATACATTCCGAGCCTCCTAATTATTCACAGAGACGTAGCTTGGAATTTTCCAATCCAATCCAACTTTATTTGTATAGCACATTTTATAAACAAGACAGTTTCCAAAGTGCTTTATATAGCAATGTAAAAAAAAATAAAAAATCAGCAGAATAATGTTCCAACCATGAGGAAACTAATAGAATCAATAAATAAAAATAATAATAATAATAAAATCAATGACAAAAAAATTTAATCAATACATATAATCAGTACAAAAATCATCAAAAATAAAAAAATAAAAATATAAAAATATAATAAATAAATAAATAAATAAATAAATTAAATTAAAGTAAATAAAAAAAATAAAATTAAAAGTAAAAAGTAAAATAAAGTAAAATAAAATAAAATAAATAATTGTCATGATGGTAAAGTTACAACAGCTTCCTGATTATTGGGAAATAAAGCGCCTTTGACCTCAAGAGCTGCTTATACAACATATCTGTACTGGAGCAAGTCAAATTTTGCTCAAATACACGGAAAGAAATCAAGCACAGAGCCAATCCCCACCGTCTCTACAAAAAAAAAACTTACCAAATGCTGTTTTTTTTCTTCTCTATCCCTTTATACGAACTTATTCTCTCTTCCTCCTCTTCTCACTTCTCTCCTTATGTCTTCTATAGTCCCTCGAAGATTTGGAGGAGGCGAAGCGTAAGAAGAAAAAGGAGAAGATCGGTCTGGGGTCGCTGTCACGAGTCTTCACCCGAGGAAAACAACGCAAGTCCCTGGACCCCGGTCTGTTCGATGGTACTTCAACCCCCGATTATTACATAGAAGAGGACGCAGATTGGTAAAACTAAAGCACATTATGTCAGAACGAGCCTATACCAGAGCCCAGCGGCATTATGGGAAATCTACTGTGAGTGGAGGTGTGTGAGAGAGAGCGTGAGTGTGAGAGTGAAGGGATAGCTCGATGTTTTGTGGTTCAATGAAGTGGTTAGGTGTTGTTACGTTTTGTGCAGGGCGTTGTGTTCCAGGTTTGGGGAAGAAGCTGTTATAAAGTAATGGGGAAAATGGAGGCAAATGGAGCCAACCTATTGTAACAAAGTAACTGCGAAAAAAGAATATGAAATTAAAATGAGTTGGAATTGAATATTTGAGAACTTTTTACTTGTCAGACTTAAGATTATTTGATTTGTTTAACTTAAAGGAGTATGAAAATTGTACTTATAAGACAGGGGTGTCCACATTTTTTCATCAAGGGCCACATATCTAAACACAGACGAAGCAGAAGGTCGATCGAGGGCCGTAGACTGAAGCTCAGTACAGTGAATAATTGAAATATGTGCACGTTTAAACACTTTAGAATGAGTCTTTATTCATGCTAAGAACCGTAAAACCACACACTAAATATTAAATATGAGCTTTATCAAGGTCGATTTAAAAAAAAAAAAAAAAAAAAACTTAGTAAAGCAGCAGTGAAAAGCTCATTTTTAATTGATGCAAGGTAATTTGGGCCAATTCACCTGGAAGTCTGAGGGCCGCATTTGGCCCACGGGTCATAGTTTGGACGTGCCTGTTATAAGAGAAATTTATTCCACTGGCTGATATATACTGTATACTAGTACTTTGTAATAATAAAACATGCACAAAATAATAATACTAAAATTCTAAATCCAGTGTATTCTTTTTCACAGTGTAGTGAGACTTTAATGAAGAATAATAACTTGACTGAAGATATTTACAACTAGAATTCAGCATATAGGCTTTATTTACACTTGTGTCACAAACCAGGAAGACGTTTATGAAACATGCAATGACAACTTCCGGCGGGCTCTGTTCATGATAGTAAGTCTGACAAAAATCTAGGAAAATTTTGAAAATGGAAAAAGTTTTCTTCATCTCCATGTCATTGTAGCGTTCCATTATGTTCGGCTCATAAACAATTTCAACCACACCTCAGTTTTCATCATTTCCCCACTGACACATACGATACGTACATGCGATTAGAAGAGACGAGGGCGCCAATTCAAGATGAATTCAAACAGCGTTTTACTTAATTTTCAATTCAGTGGGTTTATCACAGTTGGTTTTCGGGACCAACACCGGAAGTTGTCGTCACATGTTTCCAAACGTCTTCCTGGTTTGTGGCGTAAGTGTGAATTTAAGTGTCAATTTATACAAAATTATTCAAGTACAATTTTCAAATTCATTCACATCAAATTGAAACCAGTGACAAATGAGTCTGTAAATAGCATTTTTATTTCATTAATATTATATTTCATCTAGTTTAACATTTTTAGCAGTATAAGACTACAATGAAATCTACATTACAATTTTCTGTTCAAATTTGAAATAAAAAACATATTGTACTCTCTCAAATCCACCATTTTTAAATCAAATACAGTATAGGCTCTATTCACGCTTACCGGAAGACGTTTGGAAACACGCGGATGACGATTTCCGGTGTAGTTACGACACATGTGATAAAACCGTGAATTCAGGAGCAGCGTCTTCATAACCTGACAAACCAGAGGTGGGACCAAGTCTTTGTTTTGCAAGTCTCAAGTAAGTCTTTGACCTCAAGTCCGAGTCAAGTCCTAAGTCAAATACAGGCAAGTCCAAGCTGAGTCTCGAATCACTGTCCCATAAGTTCAAGTCAAGTCCAAGTCGTCTGCTTTGAGCTTCAAGTCATTTCAAGTCTTTAAATCTAAGTACCAAATATAGCTTAGATTTTTTCAATTTATATGAATTTTAAACTAAATTCAATCAATCAATCAATCAATCAACAACTTTATTAATCCCAAAGGGCAGTTCAGTTCGCACATCTGTGGTCACGCACAATATATAAATATAAATAATAAAGAAAAAGAAAGACAGACACTAGACGTTCGAACCACAGTGCATCAGGGACACAGGAACAAATTCACTTTCCGTTTAAAATCCTTATGGCAGAAGGAATAAAAGATTTGGCGTAACAGTTAGTTTTTTGCTGTGGGGTGACATAGCGCCTCCCAGAGGGCATTTTCATGAACTGTGAGCGCAGTACATGGTTAGTCTGGCTCAGTGTGGCCTTAGTCTTTTGTAACACCCGATGTCTCCACACAGAGGCCAAGTCCTCCATCTGAACACCACTGATTTTGCTGCAGACTTTTACAATCTGGTTCAGACTTTTCTTGTCTTTCACAGATAATCCATAAAACCAACAGATAAAAGAAAAGGTCAACAAACTTTCGATAAAAGAATGATAAAAATTATTTAAAATATTAGACGACACATTAAAAGAGCTGAGCTTCCACTTCAAGTGAACCTGCTGTTGTCCTCGTTTGACGATGTGCTCAGTGTTACTATCAAACCTTAAAGAGGAATCAAACACAGTTCCCAAGTACTTATAAGAGTCGACCATTTCTACGGCTTCTCCATGGATGGAACTGGCTATCGGGCTGTGGACTTTTTTCCGGAAGTCTACAGCCATTTCTTTGGTTTTGGCTACATTTAGGTCCAGGTAGTTATTATCACACCATTCAATGAAAGCAGGTAAAGCTCGGCCATGGTCAGAGTTTGCTCCCTGCAGGAGAGAGAGGAGGACAGTATCATCTGAAAACTTGATCATGTAGCTGCCCTCATTTGCGGACCTACAACTGTCTGTATACAAAATATAGAGCAGCGGAGACAAAACACAACCCTGGGGGGCACCAATATTTGAAACTATGGGATTGGACATTTCCCCATTTACCAGGACTCTCTGGTAAATGAGGAAATTGTACTTTTAAAAAATCATATTTATATAAGAGTATTTATAGCATATATAAGAGTTGTAGAAACGTAATTTTTTTCTGTTTAAATGTTTTGACAAGATCTTAGAGTGAATCATTACGGTCAGAATAGAAAGAATTCAGATTTAAAAGTCTTCTCAAGTCACAGACGTCAAGTCCGAGACAAATCCCAAGTCTTTGACCTTGAAGTCTAAGCCGAGTCCCAAGTCTTAGTTTATTTTATCAAGTCAAGTCTCAAGTCCTAAAAATATTGACTCAAGTTTGACTCGAGTCCAAGTCCTCACCTCTGTGTCATTTTTAAGTTAGACAAATTATAATATACAAATTAGTAGGCAAGTTAAAAAAGGAAAATAGAATGCAGTGACATCTAGATGAAGAAAACCAGGCAGTTTTCTCACTTTTTTTACCAGATTTTTGAGTTTCTATCGCCAACGGAGCCCGAGGGAAGTCGTCATCCGCATGTTTCCAAACGCTTTCCGGTTTTGCGACGTTTTGTGACGCTGTGCACCACGTTAAAACATCCGCACTATCCCTTCAGCCTCTGTGTGTGCATGTGTGCGTTCTGGGCCTTCAAAACCACCGGACTGCTGCTGTAAGTAACTGTACAGTGTAAATATTATGGACACGAACACACAGCAAACCAAGGATTCTCAACATGCTGTGCACGGACCTCCAAACTCCCAAAACATATTTTTGTGTCTCAAACTGAAACTTGAAGGACTGCTGTAACCTGTAAATAACATTGTGCTTGTAAATGTGTCTCCCTGTGTCCTGAATGCATAACACAATCACTGCAAAAAGGAATCACTACAAGAGATACAGGAGTTTGAATTCAGAATTGGATTGGTTTGGGGCTATTTTTTTCTTAGTTTGTTGAAAATTCGAAAATATACTTGGACTCTAAAAGCAGAAAGTGGTGTTTAATTTTCAATCTAGGCACAAGCTGGGTGTGATTGCCGTCTTTGTTGTGACAAAATAACAGAAAATGTAAGTTTGGGTGGAAAATTGAAAATTGTTAATTATAAAAAAAACAAACCAAAACATAAAAAGAATGGAATAAGTTGGTTTGTTTGCATCATTGTGCAAAATCACGGCTATTTCAGTGCAAAAATGAAAAAAAATATTGTCTCGACTTGAGCTAATTCTCTCAACATTTTATTGAAAAAAAAAAAGTGTTTTTTGAGGTCTAATTTTGTGTTTGTAAATTAAAGGCGCACTATGTAACTTCTAAGGTGGCGCGTCCCTTACTTGCTTGTCTCCATGGTTATTTCTTTGCCTTGAATGTTCCACAGTAGAGCATTAAACATATCTCTCTGCATTTGTTCAATTACAAATGTTTACAGTTGAAAATACCTTAAAAAAAAAAAAAAAACATTAATTCTTACCACGCGCAGGCTTGCTTCTCCATAGATCTGACCACATTTTTTGTTTATTTTCCATACTGTGAAATAATCAAGGCAAAACAATAATATCTCCATGGAGACAAGCAGATGAGACAAGTAGATTATTTTGCTTGAATCAAGAAAAAACTAAACAAAATAGCAATTCATTTGACATGATTTTTAAGTAATACATTAAAGGTGAATTGTGCAACTTTTCCGGCGGAGGGTCCGTCAAATGTTTTTCTCCTTGGTCTGGAATGTTTCACAGTATGGCATTAAACCTTTCTATCTTCATGGAGACCAAACCAGATTAAGACTACGTTTACACTCAAACAAATCCGCGTCTCACCGTATCGGAAACGATCTGCGTCCAGACACGTCGTTTCTGTGTCCGCGATCCTTCCCTGTCCACACAGCTTTGAGCAAATTTGTGTACGTTTTACAGAAGCAAAACTTAAAACCGCATGGCTAATTTGCATAAACGGAGCTCTCAAACAACAGCTCGCTCCTTGTGCGCTGATGCGGTTCAGCTTCTGTCGGACTAAAGGACACGACTCAGTGGATTATGAGTGTTCTTTCTGTGACAGAGGGGTGTTCTGCTGATGGTGAGTCCGTTCTGTGTTTCTATCGCGTTGGAGATGATTCATGTTCAATTTTTCAGAGATTATACGTCTGCAGGTCGTACGCATAGACCGTATATATGAATGGACATATATTCTAGCCTCTTAGTGTTATGGCGATGAATTATGTCGCGGCGCATAGACCTACATCAGCGTATCAGTGTTTTCAGGCGTCCACACAGCTCCGGATCAGATCTGTACTCAGATGAATTCGTAGGAGCTGGCGGCACCAGATCGTTCCGTCTCTGGAGCTGTTTTCAGTCGGATTAGTGTGGACGAACACTGCAGCCGCGACGAAAACGACACAAATACGTACTAGTGTAAATGGGGCCCAAGTTACAGGTCAGATCTGTGGAGAGGCGACCCCGCTCACAGTCAGAAAGAGTTTTTCTAGGTAGTTTTGAGCTATAAAATCACCTGTAATTGAATAAATGTAAAATTTAATGCCATACTGTGGAACATTCGAGGCAGAGCAATGACGTATCCATAGAAACAAGCAGGTGACGGACCTCTAACCAAAAAGTTACACAGTGCATCTTTACAGAAATACATTAAATGATATAAAAATCTGTAAAGGCATAGAAATAGGGATAGTTGTAATAATGTTCTGTAGATCTCAATTCTTTCTTTTCGACATTCGCCCCAGATATTGACGCACTAAAATCATGATTCTGAATTCAAGCCATTCTTTCTCTTCTGTAGCTACTCCATTTTTGCAGTGTACCTGTTATTTTTGGTCTCCTTTAACTTTAAAAAAAAAAAATCCCACTTGTTTATTGTCTTGCTTGGTCCATCCCTTCCCCACGACTAAAATGGTTTCCTGCGGGTAACACCAGACTCTCCCAATCCTGCTCCGAAATTCACCACAAAACTACAAAACTACAACAGCTAGTGAACCTCAACAGTCCAGGCAAGGTCCACTTTGAATTGTAACTCACCGAGCATGCCCCGATGGAAGGCCAGATGTCCGTCCAGCGTCCTTTTCTATCTGCTGTGGAGATAGAAGATTTACCTGACCACTGTGTGACCTGCATGTACGTGATCCCA